TACATAAATTATATATAAAAAGTATTAACACATATTTTTATAAGATTATGTAATGAAGAATCCTACGTCAGCTGAAAATGTTATATAACATTTATATTTTCTTTGTCTTATATAAAATAAATGAATTAATCTTACCTGATGTATTAACCTTTATAATTATATTTCAAAATCTTTGAAAACTCTAAAGCATAAGCCATAAATGTAAAATTTTTATGAAAATAATTTGTATAATTAAAGTTACATATTCAATTTTTATGTTTAAGTTTTTTTCATATTGCTAAAAGTTATATGATCCATATAAACGGACAAAGAAAATGATATAACGAATCAATAAAGATCTAATCATTATATATGTATATATAACTTATGCATATATATTCATTTCTCGTTCCGCATTTATATAATATATATACCTTGTTATATATTAAAGGAAGGATTCAAGATTAAGATGCTATAGTACATATATAGACAATTAAATGACTGAAGAATGCCCCCTTGTTTAAACAAATTTCATAATTAATGAATAAATCTTATTTTCTTATTAAAGTTATCATTTAAAAAAAATTAATTTTATTGGAAAAATTCATTTATATTTATATTTAAATATCTGTTATTTATGAGAAATAAATTATTACATTAAAGCGTGGTTCATTAATGTGTTAAAATATGGATAATTATATCAATATATCTGTGTATTCCATATAATTAACGTTATCTAATATGTGTATTATATGTATTAAATATAAATTAGATTTATTTAGATTATTATGCATTACTACTTAATTTGAGTTAACCAACATTTTTTAAAATTAATCTGAAAGAATATATTTTAGTTATTACGTTGAATGCATAATGATATATCTTGGTTCAGCTTATACGTTGCTTTTAAGAAATTTATTTTTTGATATGATTCATTTATGAGGTTCTTTATTATATACAGCATTATTAGGATTTTTTTCATGCCCAACTATTATATTCAAATATATATTTATTATTGTCCACAACTAATAATTTTTATAATTTATTATATATTTTATTCATTGCCAAAAAATTCATATGTTTTTATAATACTTTTTTTAAGACTAATCCACTGAATTATATAATATATTGTGTTTATTTTGAATTATATTTTTATGAGACTGTTCAAATAAATTCATTAATTCGTAATGTTTTTTATTTTTTCTGTTCCACATATTTTTTAACTTTCTTTTCCTTGGTCGTAAGTATGAACCATAAGCAGTATACTGACGGTTAAGGAAAAATATGATATTTCTATGATGAATACATTAATTATATATTTATTATAAAATATATTATAAATATTTACTGAATAAACATTTAATTAATTAAATTTATTTTTAACTTTATACACGATGAATATTATTATTATTATTGCAAAAGATAAAATACCCGTGCTTGTCCACGTCATTGGAGATGCAGTATCTCCAGATAAAGCTTCTGGCGTGATGGCGTTTATGCCGAGATTTCCCAAGAAACAATTCGCTGATGCATTATCACCTCTGCAAATAGGTTCTTTTTGCAAATAACTATTAAATTCTCTTTTAAATCTATCAAGTTCTTCATCAATTATATTGTTAAAGTTGGTTTTATCTATTTCTGAAAATTTCTCATATGTTTGTACACATAATTTAACGTATTGTTCTCTATTTTGCCTCACATGTTTTAAAGATTTAAAATGATCATATAATTCATCAAACATTTTGAATATTTCATATACATCGTCATTCATTATTGATACATATTCTTTACATACATCAGGTATGCGTACACCTGTTTTACTGTATGAATCTATGAGTTTTTTGTGAAGATCATCAAACGAATTAACTTTAGGACTTTTATTCCTTGCTTCACGTTTCAGCTCGTAGATATAAAAATTACAATATGGTTTTCTAGTGTCTTCTTTCATATTTTTTAATTCATGTAAATAAAGACCTAGTTTTTCGCAAGGTACATAAAAAACATTATTCACATATTTATCAGGAGTAAATTCTGCACTAATATCATTGCAAGGCCCCTTTAGTGCTATTTGTACACGACCTCCATTCATATTGTATGTAAGAGAATTATAATATGTCTTACATCTGGGAAAAATATCCTTAAAAGATAACTAAAATTGGAATTTGTAGTGCATATAAATGTTTTACACTTATAAGAAATGTATTTTTCTTTGATTTTCATAAATAAGACAATTTTAATGTATAGTAATATGAATTATATTTTTAATAATATGTAGAAACATACTTGAGCTTTAGATACTTGTGTATTACCCATTATATATTTTAATTAATACGAAAAAAAAATTACATTTATTGATATAATTTATAATGTTAAAAAATAATAGAGTATATATTATTTATATTACATTTATTATACGCATTAATTTATAAATATAATAAATGATTTAAATTTTCATTTTTATATTTTAAAATATTAAAGTATAAATTATACATATTACATAAAAGTTTAAGTGTTTCCATATAGGATTCAATAATAGAATTTTAGAGTTCCTGTTTTATATTTTACTATTTGTGTTTTATAACTTAGTAAACTGGAATAAGATTTTTATATCTATATATAGTATTATGAAATGTTTTTTTAAGTTTTCTATATGCGTACATACTGCATTTTATATTTATTATTTTGCGATTAACATATAGTGTAAATGTATTATATAATTTTTTATATTATTATATACAATATTAATAGACATTTCATAATATATATTAATTGTTTTTTATATATAATATGTGTGGATGCTCTTTCCATAAACATTATTGATTATAATATATATTATTTTTAAATATTACATAATATGATGATATAAATGATATTTATACACTTAGAATTAATTACTTTTATATTTTATTTAATGATATGTCCCATTCTATTCTGCACATTTAGATTTATTATATTATTACATTTTGAGTTTTTCATTAAATTCATTTTAATGCTTTTTTTTTTTATTGGAATAATATATTATGTTAAATCTTTAAATAATATACGCTTGCAATATTATTCTTCAAATAATTAGAGGGAAAAAATTAGATAAGTTATTTACATTTACATAATAAAGCATATGCATTTATGCAAAAATATATGAAAGTATGCATATTTGTTTGTTTATATAATTCTATAATATCGTTTATCATGAATTAATAAATATATTTACATAACTGTTCTAAACAAATAATATCACTATTTATGGTTATATATATACCATTTATTATTTATATATGTATTATTACACTTAATTCGTAAAGAAATGAAAGATATACTTTGTAAAGACATACTAATTTATGGATGAAATATTACTTGAATATCATTATATATTTCTTTTATTATTTACAGTGATAAAAAAAATATATGTAAAAAATTATTACTACAATAATATGAATAATTTACGTCAGATATGTAATTATTTTGATTATGGTATTATTATATTTAAACCATAAATTAATAGTGAAACAAAATTTATGCGTAAAAGGATATTAACTTTATATATAATATTTAAACCTTAATAGAATTAAAAATATTTTCTATTTTTTAAAATAGAGTTATACTATATATAATTGATAAAATACGTGTTTTGCTATATATATTTATTAAAGTATATGCATGTATATTAGGAATATTTTGAATATAATAATTATGTATTTTTAACAAACTAGATTTTAATTCATTAATATATCTTCTAAATATTTTCATAAATATTATTTTATTAAAATTGTTATATTTTTTGAAAGATTAATTATAACGTATATTTGTTTATAAAGGAAAAATGTGTATATTTTATTGAATACGTATTTTTTATCATTTTTATAAATAAAAGCTTTGTGCCTAATATTTTATTTTTTATATAATATAATTTAAAAATTTACAAATATAATATATTAATTTTTAGTAACAGTGGGACTATAAAGTTTATAATGAGATGCTATGATTTTATTGAATATATATATATTCTTAGACATTTATTTTTTGAAAAACATTATATATAAAAGGGACTGTATATAAATGCATTAATCTATAGTTTGTTCTAATGTGGATATAATAAAATTTAAAAAATATATTGAACCTTTGTTTACATGATTATGAGAATCTACAACACAATACATAAAATAAATTTTTTTATTATAGGTGCATAATTTTGTATTGTAAAAAAGTAAAAGGAATCTTTTTTAAAGTTTTAACTTGTTCCATGAAAAAATTAATTTCACATAATAAAAGTATTAGATGATCAAGCATAATTTATAATGTTTATAATAAGTTAAAAAGAGTTATAATTAATACTCCTTTATATTTTATTTCTTTCAATACATTCATTTGAATAATAATACCTACATTTCTTACGAATTATGAATATGTATTATTCATGCTCAACTAAATAACGAGTTCATATTTGATGAATTATAACTCAGATGCTGATAAAATATGATTAAGAGTCTTTAAATAATTTTATTCTATATATATTACATAGAAATTTATTCTGTATTCAAGGTATGCATTTTTATATTAATAAATGTTGTGAATTATTAAATTATAAAATCAAAGAAAAAAAAAAAAAAATAAAATATGTTTTTATAATTGTCTAGAGATATTTTTAATCAGCTTTAATAGGGATAATATAATTATTTAGCTCCCCGAATATAAAAGTCCACATTTCCTTGATTTATAGAATATGCAAGCGAAAAATCTGAAGGTGAATCATTAAATATATGTGTTTACACATGATTGCTTCTATTTTTTGGGTTAATATATTTTCGTGTTTTAAAATATTTTCTTGAGGATAATTTATTTCTTACAATAACACTTATAACATACACATTTATGTGAATAAAGCAATTTTAGAGTTTTATAATATTTGTCACGTTTTTATATAAACAGTATTTACACTTGTATAATGTATTGATATATATGTGCTTACAAAGACTTATATGAGGATCATTTATATATTTGTCAATACTAGTGCATAAATATGTAATGATATTATTTAGGGTTCAGGGATTAATTATTATGCTTTTCGTTTTGGAAAAGAGTATGTGTTTATTTTTAATATAATATTCTATATATATATACTTACTTATTCACTGTAATTTTTCGGAATTGCTTTTTATAAAATTACGTTCATATTAGATTCTCACGTATGTGAACACAGAGTAACTATTATATTATGACAAAATTATCCATTAAATATAACATATATAATATACAGTTATATATTACAATTATTATTATGTCCTTATGAAAGTATAATTTTTTGTATCGTTTTTATATGGAAAATGTATTTCATTTGTGCATATTTTAGCTTATTAGACTTTATGTAAAATG